GTGGGCTCGGCCAGGCTCCCCGTCTCCCCGTCCCGCAGCTGGCGGATGTGCTCATCCAGGAGAGCCGTGAGGTGCGCGGAGCCGCGCTGGAGCAGGGAGGACGTCTGGGAGGGCAGGAGGGCCAGGGCACCCAGGGTCTGCCCCTGGGCAGCCTCCAGTGAGGGCAGCTTGGCGAAGTTCTCCACTCCCTGCCTGCTCAGGATGGTGTCGTGGATGCAGGCGCCTGGAAGAGAGGAGCAGAGCTGAGCTTGGGAGATGGGGAGCTAGAGCCAGAGCCCTTTCGTCTTCCACAGCCGCGCAAGAAAAGCTTGCTCCTGCAGGCAGGAACTCCCAGCCCTCACTGTCTGTCCCCTCATTTTAACGGACACGGCAACGATCTCGCAGACTCCGTTAGCGTGGGCCCAGCAGGCAGGAGCACCTCTCCCCGGCGCTGGAGGAGAGCCCCGAGCCCAGTGCCGGCAGCTGGGGATGCGGGGAAGGCTCTCACCCAGGAGGTTGATCTGTGGCACTCCCTTCAGCACCCGCAGCATCTCCTTCGCCTTCGCCTCCCGGCTCACCAGCAGGATATTGCGGGCCACGAAGAGAGGGAGGAGGTTCTTGTACTTGGACTGGGACAGCACGGGTCTGACGATCTAGAGGAGAGAGCTCTCAAAATGCAGCTTTGCACCCCGGCAAGCAGCACACACAGTCGTCCCAGCTCTCATCCACCTCCTCCCCCTGCCAAACTACACCCAGATCTTTCCGGCAGCTCTGCTCCTACCTCGTTCAGGACGAACTTGACCTCAATGCTGTGCTTTCGGAGGTAGTGCCTCATCAGCACCATGTCCTCGCTGGGCATGGAGTTGTACTGACAGACGGCAATCATCCGATTGTCCCGGAACACCTCCTCCACCTGCCGCCGTAACAGCCGGGCATAACCGTCGTCCTGAGGGGAGCAAGCAGCGATGGGCCGCAGGGAAGGGGCAAAGGCTGCTGCCTCCCCCAATCCCACCCTGCAAACGGACCCATGGCCGCGAGACACTGCCATGGGTCACAGAATCACAGAATCATGGAACGCTTTGGGTGGGAAGGGACCTTTAGAGCTCATCCAGCCCAACCCCCTGCAGCGAGCAGGGACAGATTTAACCAGATCAGGGTGCTCACAGCCCCGTCCAACCTGACCTGAGATGTTTCCAGGAATGGGGCCCCAACCAGCTCTCTGGGCAACCTGTGCCAGTGCTTCACCACCCTCAGTGTAAAAAATTTCTTCCTTATATCCAGTCTAAATCTATTCTCCTTTAGTTTAAAACCATCACTCCTTGTCCTGTCACAACAGGCCTTGCTAAAAAGATTGCCCCCATCCTTCCTACCAGCCCCCTTCCAGTACTGAAAGGCCGCACTAAGGTCTCCCTGCAGCCTTCTCTTCTCCAGGCTGAACAACCCCAACTCCCTCAGCCTGGCCTCGCAGGAGAGGGGCTCCAGCCCACGGATCATTTTTGTGGCCCCTTTTTGTGGATGGCGAGATGCCGCCAGGATCGGGACTCACCTGGTTTCCAGCACTCGATTACCAGCTGGGGCATCTCCCAGCCACCCACAACGTGATGAAAAGGGGCAGCA